GCCCGACCCAGTCTGACCTACCGTTGACTGTTGCCACGTCGGACAGGGCAACAGTCAACGGTAGGTCAGACTGGGTCGGGCAGGTTTTGGACGTGACTGAGACACTTACAATAGTTCGAGGACCCACATGTCGATTTTCATAGTTCGAGGACCTGGTTGACACCCCTCGAATAGTTTAGGGACCTACAGTGCACTTCACTCAAAAATGACGATGACCTTGAGGGTATGATGAAATTCTGCAGTTCCTTCTATTCAGTTCAAGTAGTTACTTATTATCTCTCTCATTGTCTCTCTCTCTACAGGCACCCCCCGGAGGCGAGCTTGGGTGGGAGGAGGAGCCCTGCACGGAATCGGCGTCTCTGACCCCGGCTATAGCGGATGGAGGTCACTGCGGTGGTGGCATGAAGCCCCACCGCTTCTCCTGTCGCCATCAGCCTGCATTCGACGGAGAACCGCAAGCTGCCTGCAACATCACCAACTCGTGCACCTCGCGCTGCGGTTGGTCGACCTCGGAGGACGGGATGGCCGTGTTCGTCGTAACCCACCCTATGTGCTCATGGTCCTCTCCCTTGACAAATCAGTGCAGGTCTTTTAGTGATCATGATGCAATCCCCTTAGTGTTACAAGTCCGATATGCCTGATTCTGTTATGGTTTTATTGGTTGAACGACACCCTGGTTGTTATAAGTTTAATAATTTATCCATGCTTAATCTGTACCTGATTCCACTGTTTGATTCCTCCCTAGATTTGTGTCTAGTTTAAACATTACATGGAATATTTATCAGCAGTCTGATAGGCAACGATGATATCCATATAACAGGTTATCTTAGCTTGTTAATGTGTGCTCAATGAACTATTTGAGCTCTCTTTACTGCATCTTGTATGCTCATACAATAGCATGAAATAGTATCGCTCATACACTACATGGAATATTTATGAGCATAATTTTTTTGCCATATCCATTTCACACCTGGCATCCGCCATTGTAACTTCATACTGATGTAACATGTGAATCTGTTGGTCCTGCTTGTTGTTTTTCAAGAAGTCAATGTGCCTACCTATTTTTGTGCTATGTTATTATCTTTGATCAGTATCAGTTATGTCTCTCTTAAGAGACACTCCTACCTTTTTTGACTCGAGTTGTTAACAATTGTTCCATACTTCTGCTAGCTACAACAATTTTTTTAATTGTGTACTGCATGAGTTTTTACTACTGCTAACATGGAGTATTTGCTACTAGTAAAACAGGGATTTTGTATAGTCTTTACTACTGCTAACACACAGAGTATTTGCTACTAGTAAAACAGGGATTTTGTATGCACTGCTACCTGATGAGTGCTTTCTTTGTACTATTTCACCTTGGCATGCATATGTTTATTTCACCTTAGATGGAAATGAGTGTTATCAAGGAAATGGTTTTAGGTAAACCAGAGCCTCTCATCAGTCTTTCTTACTCAGTGTTATCATCTGCTTGGTTTTAGGTGGACTCATTTCCTGTGGTGGTTCTGCTTGGGTTTTCCTGATGTTGTTTCGCGTTGGGTTCCGATTCGCTTTGCTGCTATTGTTTATTTGGAGATGCAGACTTGTGGTGAAGAAGAGCAAGGCCAAGAAAGGCTCCAACAAGCCTAAGCGCCCCCCGAGCGCCGTCTTAGTCCTCATGTGAGCCCCAGATTTGATTTGTTGTTGTGGTTCGATTCACGTTATTTCTGTGGCGTGGTGACGCATCCTGACCGGGGTCCATTTTTGGTTCTGTTTTCGCAGAGACAGCTTCAGGAAGGACTCCAACATCAAGCAGGTCTCCATCGTAAGCATCTTGGTTCCCTTTGCTCCCGCCCCTATCTCCTTGTTCTTATTCGAACTGGTGTTGTGATAGTTTTCCTTGCAAATCCCGTGTCCTGATTTGTGTTCAAATCGCAGGTTTGCAAGGTCGGTGTTGAGAAGTGGAAGTATCCTTTGTGAGGTTGTAAGTTACCCACTCCCCCATCTCCTCTCTGTTACCGCTCTATTCGGTGTTGGACTCTTCCGCCTGATCTCAGTGTTTGCTCGGTGATGCGATGAAATTTTTGCGGACTTTGTGTTGGTTTCCATGTTTCTGTGTCGCTGCACCGCGTCATTTGGGTATTGTTCGGCCCAGTTGATCAATGATATTTAGAATTTAGTCGCTATGCAATTGTTGATCTACTTCCTATTCTCAATTTGGTCGTTCAAATTTATGGTTTCTTGTGTTAAAATGTATGTACTGTATAGTCTGCTCATCAATTCAAACTGTTGCTTGAATGTTACTTTCCAAATCCATCATGCCATTTCGCACGATTTTTTCAATGATTCTTATTCTGTTAATTTTTATCCTGTAATCTGCGCAGATTCATCAGTAATCGGCTACCAGGTGCCCTACAAGTAACTATTGATTGGCTAGTTAACTGATTAATCTGAAATTTTGAACTGTGCCTCATGGTCACCCTCATACATACTTGCTATTCTACTTCTGGGTGTAAACAATAAGTTCTTTTAGGTGGACGGTACAATATAACAGATAGAACGCATTTTTAGAAGATATGATCGTAGTTGTCATACAGTGATGCATGGTAGATTATAAAAACAAGAATTTTGTCCTATACTTTTAGATCCTCGATTTACACAAACATAT